CACTGTCATTTATATGTGTTGTTTCTACTCTGATGGCATCATTATTTTCACATTCTTTCAAGCATAACTCACGGCATGTATTTAAGTGGACAGAGAATTCCCAAAGCCAGAACACTTTCTGATCTAGGTATGGAGGCTCATGCCCAGTACTGCCGAACTAGAGGTAGAAGGATGAATTCAAGGCCAGAGTCTGCTACATAGCAAGTTTGAGACTACCCTAAGCTATATGAGACCCTGCCTTACACAACACACACACATACACTTAAAAATTTATCATTTAATTTGTCCAGATTACGCACTGTGGTGCAATCTGCAGAGTCCAGAACAAAGAAAAAGCAAAGAAAACAATCTACTTGTCAAATAGAATGTAGAAATATAATTACTGACCTATGTGATACCAGAAGTGTAGGTATGGAGTGGGGAATTCCCTACTCTGCTTGAGATACTACTAAATATTTAGAAGGTTCTATCCCAAATTTTCAGCATGGTGTGAGCAATCATTTAAAAGTTGGAATTTTTCTCTTTCAGCCAGTATTTTTTTCCCAAGATGATAATCTCAATATAGAGTAGACATTGGCAGAACTTCAAGGTTAAATCATTTCCAAGTGCTTTTAACAGATCTCAGTTACAACGTAAAACCTTTCAATACTGTTATCTCTAACTGTTTTAATGTGAGGCCATTTTTCATATTTTCAGAAAGTAAGGAGAGATATCTCCCCTGAAAAAGAATCCTTCAGTGACCCTATAAATTAATAGGTCCTGAAAAATGTCTATACACAATTCAGAGTTCAGATACACCATTAAGTTACCTCAATACAAAACAAACAATTTATGGCAGATCAAAGCTTTGCTCCACTTAAATCAAAAAGTCCCTTCCTATTAACAGCCATGAGACACTAGAAACTATTATTGTGCCAATAATGCACATGTCTGTTCAAATCTTTTGAAAATGAAGTAAGATACAAACATAGACATAGTTATGTATGCAACATTGCAGGGTCTACACAGACAGTTATGTATGTAACATTGCAGGGTCCTCTTCAAGAGTTAAGTGAAAAAATCAACTATCTGGGTTCATTGAGATAGAAATATGGGTAACCGATATTCTCGGGCCCCATCATACGCCAGGATTCCATGCATTCTTCTCACTCGGGTTCATGTCCACACTTTCTGTAAGTGCCTTTGTACTGACAGCACCAGTGTTTGCTGGAGTCGTGGGTTTCCATAATGTTTCCCTCCCTACATCTGCGTATCCTCCTGCCCCCTATGTGCATACACATACAAATGGTGGTAAATAGCTAAGGACTGCAGGGCAAAGAAATTGAGCACCATACATATTCCTTTCAATAATACTCCTTATGTCTGAATGAAATGAAATATACCTTTGGTTTGACTTGATCTGTTGGTCTTCTGATGTTCGTTTATGCACACGACAAGAAGAAAAGAAGCATGGTACCTTTGGGCAGCATCTGATTTGTCAGGAAATTCCTCTTGCTATGATATGTGGGTGGAGAGAAGATGCAATCCAGATGCTCAGGCTGCCGTAGCCAGTCATGCAGATGTGCATTCTCCTCACGTGTCCAGATGGCGACCCCTCTGGCATTGTTAATGTGTCCCGAGTGCCAGGCTTCCTTCTTTGCTTGTGCATGCCTTCGTCTCACTTGGTGCATGTGTGCATTTATGAGACTCGGCATTCCTACATTTCTTATGTGGCAGTAACTATTAAAAATAAGGAGTTCTAGTGTGTTGGAAATATGAAATGTGATCCTTACTTTTAAAACACTTCCTCATACAATTATTCAATTCATGATGCAAGCTTTTAACTTTTCTCTTGAGAAAATATGGCACTGGATAATAAATGATTTAAAGATAGTTTAAGAAACAATTTTTTCTTTCTTTTTCTTTTTTTCTTTCTTTTTTTTTTTTTTTTTTTGGTTTTTCAAGACAAGGTTTCTCTGTATAGCCCTGGCTGGCCTCGAACTCAGAAATCCGTCTGCCTCTGCAAGTGCTGGGATTAAAGGCATGAGCCACCACTGCCCAGCATGATTTTTTTCATATGTGCATTTTATGATGATGTCAGTGCCCTTTTTTTATTTCTGACCTCTATATCCTCTTTTTAAGAATTATACCTGTACACTGAACATTGCTATTTGTTGCTGATTAAATCCAGGCATTACAGACACAGATAGTTGAGGTCTTCTAGAATTGGTGCCTTATTTTTTAAAGATTCATGTTTACTATTTTCAAGTGTGTGTAGGTATGGGGAAGAGGTAGGTATATGCGCATGCTGGTGCCCACAGGACCCACTGTTGACCTTTCTGAGGTCCCAGATCAGGTTCCCAGCACTCATGTGGTGGCACAAAACCACCTGTAAATCCAGTCCCAGGAAACTGAATGCCTACTTCTGACCTCCAAGCACTAGGCATGCATGTACATGGTGTACACACATATATACAAGCAAAATACTCATACATGTAAAATAATAAAACAAATCTTTAAATGTTTTTTTAATGAAAAGACTCAGGCTTTTCTTTTTTATAAATTTCATTTTTATAGGGGAAATGTAAAAGATGAATATATTCTTAGAAATATGAAGACTATAACAAACAATAAATACAAACAGATGATAGGACTTTTAAAAACACCCATCTCCTTTAATATCAGAAGTAATGAACCTTACAAACCAGAAAATAGGGGCCTGGAAAGATGGCTCGATAGTTAAGAATACTGACTGCTCTTCCAGAAGTCCTGAGTTCAAATCCCAGCAACCACCTGGTGGCTCACAACCATCTGCAATGGGATCAGTTGCCCTCCTCTGATATGTCTACTGAAGAGAGCAACATTGTACTCACATACATTAAATAAGTAAATAAATAAATAAATCTTTAAAGCAAAACAGACAATGTGTGCTATATGATGCATAACAAATGACCAAAAATATAGGTGATTTGTTTTAGGAGTTGACAATTTTTACTGTTAATATCAGAATTCTACAGTCACCATGATGAGTAATCTACCGTCTGTGTATCTTGAGTCTTGGTTATCTTGCAAGTGATCTCAGGCCCTTATGAAAACTGTACTGTTTCCTAAAGTAAGTCTCATTTCCTCCTCCAATTCCTTTTTGAAAAGAGTCACAGACATTTTGCCCTAAGCTCCTCTTTCATGCTTGGGATAATAAATCTGTGATATATTCCACCAGATCTGCCCACCTTGCTGGAAATATAATGAACAGGCAGGGGGTTCTTCACTGCTAAACCAGGATCCAGGACCAGAATCATCAGATAACCCTAAAATGTGGTTGTTCCCACTTGGAGATGACGCCTCACTGGCTGTCCTTTGTAATCATTCTGAGTAGATAAGAGGTTGATGCTGTAAAATGTAAAAGACCAAAGGTCTTATGTTTCCAAGTCTGCCTTCTACAACCAACCCAATTGAGACCCATCCCATGGGAGACTATTAAATGATAGTCTGTTATGCTCGTAGATAGGCGTCTAACATGGCTGTCCCCTGAGAGACTCCACCCATCAGCTGACTCAGACACATGCAGACACCCACAGCCACACAGTGGATGGAGCTTGGGGACTCTTATGAAAGAGTTGGGGGAAAGAATTTTGGGCCCTGAAGGTGATAAGAACTCCAGGAAGACCAGCAGAGTCAACTAACTTGGACCTTTGAGGCTCTCAGAGACTGAACCACCAACCAAGCAGCATACACAGGCTGGGCCTAGGCCTCCCCAACACATATGTAGCAGATATGCAGCTTGGTCTTCGTGTGGGTCCCAAACAACTAGAGTGTGGGCTATCCCTAAAGTTGTTGCCTATCCATGGGATATGATCATCTTGCTGGGCTGCCTTGTCTGGCCTCAGCTGGGAGATGATGCACCTAGCCCTGCTGAGACTTGATGTGCCAGGGTTGCGGGATTCCCTGGGGAGGTGGGGATCGAGGAAAGGATTGTGGGAGGGGGGACTGGGAGGGGGCAGTAAGCAGGATGTAAAGTGAATAAATAAAAATATGAAAATTAATTCATCTTTGAAAAGAAAGACAGAAAGAGGGGGAGGAAAGGAGAGAGAGAGTGAGGAAAGGAGGGAAGGGAGGAAGGAAGGAGGGAGGGAGGGAGGGAGGGAGAAAGAAAGAAAGAAAGAAAGAAAGAAAGAAAGAAAGAAAGAAAGAAAAGTGGCTATCTGATAGGCCTTCTTTTAAAGTAAAACTGTTGCAAAAATAACCCTAGCAGCCAGTGATGTACAACCCATCAGCTCAGTCTACCTTGTCCCTGGTAGTGGGGTTGGGCCCAGCCAGATTAAATGTACCTTCTGGAGGCCACTTGGACTCTGGTCAGTGAGTGAGGTCCATACATCATGATTTCTGGAAAGGGCGTGAGTAGCTGAAGAGGAGAAAGAGGAAGGGAAATGGGAAATGGGAGAGGACATAATTGAGGCAAGAGAGTTGAGCTGTAGAACTCACTGTAACCCAGGTAGACATCCCAGAAGCTGCTGATTCATTGATCCACTTCCTCTAAGGCCTTTCACATGGGCATGTGTTAGCAACAGCAGCCCCTGGGCTCCATGTAACACAGTGTGATTTTCAGAGTGCTTTCTCTCTAGGTTGTATTTGAACTCTGTGTCACCCTGCAGGTAGAGAGGCAGCACAGACATCGGACCTCCCAGTTTCACAATTATCATAATACTTGCCTGTCCAAAAGCCCTTGTTGTTGAGGCCCTACGCAGTTTCATCTGACACAGTCAGGTGAAAGGAACAGACAAGGGCATGCTGGAGCATTCCCATGTGATCTCTCGGGTGACTGTACCAATTCTCTTATCTGTAGAATTAACTCACAGTTAGTAGGTGAGCCATTGTTAAGGAATGGGCATGATGGTGAGGTTGCTTTCCACCAGAAAGGGTGTATGTGAGTCCTTTAGTGAGTGATGGAGGTCCCAGGGATGAGGTCTAGTTCAGCATCATATGGCAAACCGGGATACCATTTGAAATCCTTGTCACTGAAGGAGACTCTCTTTATTTCTCTGATAGCTGGTGACCTTGCTGCAAAGTGGGTGGTCCCTTTGTACTTCACAATAAAACTCTTCTGGTGACAGTTTCTATCTAAGTGGGGAATGTTCTCTGTTGTTACGAGTTACATCCTCTTCAGAGCCACCCGGAAACCACTTTCAGGGCGAACATCAAGATATATATTCCAGTCATTCCTTCCTCGTGGTGACTGTTAGTTCATTTTTAATTTAGGCTGAAGTTTTTTTGGGTTAATCTTGGGTTTTGTTCATTTGTTATTGTTCTTGTTTTCCTATAGAACAAGAATTCACAATATATGCCCCAAATTCACAGCCCTCCTGATTCAGCATTTCCAAAAGCTGGAATTAATATTTATATCTTTCTTAGTATTTTAAATGATAGAACCAAATACCTACATAGGTAAGGGATCCTGAAAATATTTTTATAGGCATGCACTAGCATGCCTGGCTTTGTCTCTTTCTTATAAACAGCAAGGAGTATATTGAATTTCCCTCCTTTGTGGAGTGTCTACAGGTTTCCAGTCATTCCCTAATACCTTTTTTACCTTTGCAGTAAAAGCGTCTAGACCCTGGTTATCACAGCGTTGATTCACATACCCTGTGCAATGAGGACTCAGACATGTCTCCTGTAGAGTTCATAGCTGAAGACTTCAGTTGGCAGAGGCAGGGAAAAAGGAAGTGAAACAACTTTTTTAAATCTCTAGAGCACTGCTTGCATGATTATTTTTAGCTCAGCATTTTGTTTTATTCTCCTGCAAGTTGTGTTGCAAGCACTTTAAAACCAGCAAGGACTGAAGGTTTAAGATCTGACCTGACCACAGCTAACACATCAGAAATATACAGAAGCGGGTCTAACAAGTGGGGTTTTAGCCTCTCGGGGCGGCCATTATCCTCTTGGGGTTTACACAATTCCCTGGGATCCCACAGACTTTCTCTTTCTCCCTTGATCTGTGAGTGGGTGCAAGTCCTCACTGAGGAGCCACTGCAGTAAGGAGAGGAGAGAGTGGGAAGTGTGCACTGGTTGTTAGACAGTGGCAAAAATTCACCCTGTTGGAGAAAACAAAATCACAGGCTTCAGGAAATACTTTCATGGTATTTCTCTCTGTGTGGACTTGTTTTCCCGTCTTAAATACCAAGAAAGAGAAAACAGTAAGTTTTCCTTTTAAGCTTGGAAAAGGGGAAGTATACAGTGAGAGAGGTTTAAATAAACATGATGGTAACTTTGACATTTTCTCTTGAGGAAGAGCATGAGTTTTAGGCCAGCCTGGGCTACATAGTGAGTTTTAGATAAGCCTGTCTCAAAAAAAAAAATCAGTTATGTGAATGCAGGTTTGCAGATAATTAACTTAATTCCCCATTTGGAAGCCCTTGGGTGTAATGTCAGGAGACTAGACTAGACAGAGGTCTTAGAAAGCCTTTTAAAGTCTGTAAAAAGTGAAAACATGGCCACCTCTCTCCTGACTACCAAATTCTATAAGCTATTTAAGATTTGTCAAAGGGCTTTGAGTTTCAGAACCCAAATGTACTTGGGTTCATGCCCCAAATACAATCAGCACAAGTAGTCCCCTTGCAATGAGAGCATTTTACTTTCCCACTGCATAATTAATTCCCCTAGCTCAGTGCAGGATTCTAAGCAAATCAGCTCATCCAGTGCAGAGACACTTCACTACACAAATTACTCAAATTTGCTTTGCTAGTCTGTGTGGCCCACATAGCCCAGGTGTCCAGGACACCAGGCCGCCCATGTCTCATGCCCAAGGCAATCCCTTTCCACTTCTGCCTGCACTAGACTCGATATCCTCAGTGCTGCCCCAAAGCCAACGTATCCACTGTGTTCTGAAGCAGAGTTTCTTAAATATTTTCACCCCCAAATTTTTTACATGCCCTCTAGAAATACGAGTATATATATAATACATGTGTGGATCAAATATTTACAAATGATAGATCACAAAGTTTATCTTAAAGCAATACTTGGTGTGCCTTCACTTCTACTCTTTATTAATGATAAAAACAGATGTGCATGCTGAAATGGATTTGTTTTTTAACACAGCACAATTCAAAATTGTGTTAATTGGACATTTAGATGCTGAGGGATGATGGTAGGGTAATATTTTCATTTGGAGGCCGTTCTGAGGCAGGAACACATCTCTTACCTGGAGTAAATTCAAGCAGCCTGGAAGCTCTGGGTTCTACTGTTCCTGGAAGTATATGTAGCCCAATAAGCAGAGAGATGAACGTAGGTGTATTTGTGACACTAATGCAGCATATTGGGGACTTAATATGCCCAGCCTTTTAAACACAAATGTATTATATAAATAATATATATTATACATAAGTACACACATATACATATATAATATGTATATGTTTATACACACACACACACATATATATATATACACACACATACACACATACACATATCTTATATCTTCCAGGTCAGTGTTAGGAACCAGCCCCATCATCATCACTTTACAAACGAGGCAATCATGGAAAGAACTGCCAAGAAAGTTGAGCAAGGCCCATGGTGCCAAGCCAGGATCAATCCAAAGATGACAGACCGCTAAGTTCTGCCTCCAATGGCGTGCCACTTGGCACAGAGTGGCCTTGCAGTTCAAGATACTGTTATCCAGGAACATCTCATATGTAGGCCTGAGCCTAAGAGAAATCCTGATTACGTGTGGAGTCCAAAGAACCTACTGTCTGATGCTATCTGGGGCTGGGGCTGAGGCTGGGCCGGGAAGGCCTCTCAGTCCTTATTCACATTCCTAACAGCATTAGTTTTGCAACGTAAATCTCCACTTTGAATTAGTTGCTTTTGCAACAATATGAACTGTTCAGCACAGGTAGATCAGCATAACTGACTACTCAAGTATCTCTCAGCAGAACGACCCTACCACTATCTTTGGCCTTCTTTAGAGATACTGTAGTCTCTAAAGCCAATGCAATGCAAGCCAATAAGTGCAGCAGTACAAGTGTTTGCTCCCAGACTCTACCATTGCCTGCCCCTCCATGTGCGTAAGGGTACCTGGGTAGGAGGTACCAGGACATGTGGCTCTTGTGTGTCTGTTTCCTGCATGTGGAAAGGCATTCATTATTTAAAAAAACAAAAAAACAAAAAACCTGTAAACAACTCAGTTCTCAGGCTAGCCCACAAGCCATATTCAAACCATATGGATTCAAATAGTCCTTTCTAACCATCATGAATTGACATGTCCAACACTTTCCTTCTAAATGATAAAGAAAGAATGCATCTTTTTAAATTGTAAGGAAAGCTTGATTTAATAATATCAGGAAATTTAATTAAGCATGTGATAATCACCTCCAACAGGAAGCAAGCTGGGGGAGGTGGTAGGGTTACAACAAGAAGAAAATTCAAAATCACAAAGGGAAACTGAGGAATGCGGTGTAATTCCCACACTTTAGAAGCTAAGGCAGGAGGATGTTGTGCTTGTGACTAGCCTGGTCGTATACTGAGACTCTGCCTTAAAAAGAACAAAGACAGTTTAAGCTCCTCAACCCCAAAAGTCAACATAGAACGGTTTTATTTAAACAGTGTTTGGAAAGACAAAGTGCTTTACTTCATCCTCTGTGCTGCCTCTGATTTCTGTTCCCACAGATTGGTCTACAAATCTTTTCTTCCAATCGACAAGATCAGTTACACATTTGGTGTAGTGGGTTATTTTGTCATCATGTTCACAATGTGTGGACTCAATCTAATATTCAAGTAAGTGTCTTCACTCAAGAGACTAATATCTAATATCTCTGAGCACCTGCTTTGGCCGTTCACCTGGTCACGTTCTTCTCTCACCTGGAAGCATTTGGCTCTGCCATGGTCCGTGTACACATTCTCCATAGCAGATACCTACTTGTAGCTTTATCTTATGGAGGACCCAAGGGAAAAGCCAGAAAGGAGCAGCCTACACAATAAAACTTTTTAAAGACAAAGAGCTTTAAAGAGAATCTATAGCTCACCTGCAGACTAAGAAGGTCACCGTTGAAAGCGGGACTTCCGTGGTATAGAATAACTGATTAAAGTGCTTTCCATGAGATGTTGGTGTCCAGAGCATCTTTGAGTATCTAGTTTCTTAAAATCCTTAGGACTGAGCTGGCCTATGACAAATTCCCTAGCTTATGTGACAACTGAGCACTTCAAATGTGAAATAAGATGGCCATCAAGTGTAAAAGGCACAATGGATTTCAAAGACGGCATGAGGAGAATAAGGCTCTGCATTGATTACATGTTAAAAGGGACGTGTTTTAAACACATTGATGGAATGACATCACCCGCCCCTGTTTACTTTTGAATGTGGCTCGAGTCCCTTAATGAGGCCGATGGACTCTGAGAATTGTGTTAGGCAGCTTCATCAATGTGTAACCCTCACAAGTATTTTTACACAAACTATGATAAAACGTTATGGGAGCATCATTACCTATAAGTAAGGCCCAACGCTATAGAAATGTCAATATGCAGATCCCAACTGTGTGTTTGTGGCTGTATTCCCACTTAACATCACTGATCTCCAGCGGAGGGGAATGGGTGCTTAGAAACCGAAACAGAAATTAAAAGGATACCAGAAGAGTAGGCTTGTGAGAAAATAAACTGGGTAGGTAATCAATGTTCTGTGTTCAGAACTGCTTCTCCGTTGAGAAGCTGGCTCGGGAATTAATCAGTCCACGGACCAGGCCTGTGCTGTGGAATGGGGATTCAGGAAAAATCACATAGCTATGGAAAGCAGCTCAAATAAAAATTCCCCAGAATATCCCTCATCCTGAAGTCACTCCAAGTCTCTGGGTCTGTAACAGAAATTAAAAAACAGAGACTGGCAACCCTTGAGCCATAAAATAGAGAATGTAAGTGGCTGAGCAGTCAGCCCCGGGGTTGCCATGGGCACTTCCTTTGGCAGTGCAATGGTCCAGTTTTATTAGCGTTTCATGGGACTTCCAGAGCAAGCTGCTAACGCTGCATCCGTAGCAGAATGGAGGTGCCTGTGCCAACCGAGTGCTCCTGGTTTAAAATGTAGAAATGTGAGGACTGCTTTTCTTTCACTGTAGAAACATTTAAAAGAATTTTCATGAAACACTTGGGACTATAGTTATTCCAAGATTATTACTGCTTAGGATTTTCAGACCTTTATCGATGAACTCTCCTACAAGAAGGCATGCCAAGGACTTATCCCTTCAGATTTGGAAGGGACTAGGTTTTTCTTCAGATTTGGAAGGGACTAGGTTTTTTCACTCCTCCTGGTGGTGAATACACTGCTAAGATTTTTCTGTATGAAGCTGGAGGTTTGTTACTTTTAATCAATAAGATGATTCATATTCACTGCTGTGCATGTGAAGGGAAGATAGAGTTTATCCCCCATTGCCTTAATCCTTATAAATACAGGCTGAATCCTGTATTTACACATGGAGACACACACACGGAGACACACACACCTACCCATTTTTTCTAAATATAAAAAGTCTTTACTATGTCCTCCTAAAATAAATAAGCATAAACCTTGTCAGACAAGCTGGGCATGGGAATGAACACCTGTAATTCCCACACTTGGGATCCAGAGCCAGAAGGATTGAGAGTTCTAGGCCAGGCCTGGCTCTGGTCTCACAGAGCTCATGCTTTAGTCTTGCCTGATAAGTATAGCTCTCACTCATCAGAGAAGACCTTTGCAGCCGATGGAGACTTACAGAAATCTAGTTGGCCAAACTGCAGAACAGACACGACTGGAGGTTACACAATTCAATTCATGCATCTCCAATGCAACACTACACCTAAGCACAGGAACATCTTAGAAGAGGGCACAGAAAGACTGCAAGAAACACAGGTCTGCTGTAGGATTATGTCTGTGTGTACGTGTATGCATGCGTGCATGCGCGCGTGTGTGTGTGTGTGTGTGTGTGTGTGTTTGTGTGTGTGTGATATACATGAGTGAGACATATATATATATATATGAAGTCTTGACAATATTGTCCCCTAAACATGACTTACATGAAGACACCAGTTGACATGCTAATGTAGGCTGGGGAAGTGCCTCAAAGTTCCACTCCTAGATGAAGAATTACAGGCAATCAGTGGCCACTGAGAGAGAGAATCAGTCATCTCCAGCCATGAGTCCCTGATAGTCCAGTTCCACTACTGGTCAACCACAAATACATATGAGTGACACCAAGTGGACTTGGGTGTGTGTGTGTGTGTGTGTGTGTGTGTGTGTGTGTGTGTATGAAACAATAATAGTTAAAGAAGAAGAGATCATGAATCTGAAAGGGGGTTGAGAGGAATTAGCATAGGGAAAGAGGGTGGGGTGGAAATGATATATTACAGTGCTCATATATGAAAGTCTCAAAAAAAATATTAAGCCAGAAAAGGGGAAAAAATAGGTTCTAGGTCAGCTGGGGCAGCTTGATGAGCCACTAATTAATTTATTAATTAACTTTAAAAGCCTCAGATGATGGTTCCTGCAGTAGCCCACACAGCTCTTCCCTATACCTCAGTGAAGCCTGCCAGGCCTCTGCTGGTGTGGGAGACTATTTATAGATAAAACACACCAAATATTCGAAGGTTACAATTCATGAGTCAAGATTAGGGCTAATTGTATGGGTTGGTTGGTTGGTTTGGTTTTTACTTAAGATCTTTCCTTTAGAATACGGGAGGAAACTGTCCCAGGGACTCCTAGTGCCTTTGAAAGATAACTTGTAGAATCACGGTTTGTTGCTGTGCGGCAGCTACAGCATAGAAAGGGCCCACGGCCCAGAGCTTCGTTCCTGCCTACTAGGTGCTGCCTGTCTAGTCTTCATGCTTTCTTGTGAGAAGGGATGATATTTATGACAGACACTTTTTTCAGGTAAGTCAGAATATCTGCAAACATTCCACAGAGCCCAGAGTCTATGGCTGAGGTCCTCAGCCTTTGATGGACCTGACAGCTGCCCCAGCAAGGTTTCTTTCACAGCTCCAGTACGCATGAACCCAGAAACATTCAAGGGAGCCCCATGCATCAGTACATCAGAAATCCCCCCCCCCCCAGATGATTCTAAACTGTGTTTATGTCTAGGAACTATCTCTCTAATGGCTAATGATCTTAGTTGCCCTTAGAATCTCTTGGGGTCAAGGGACCATCAAAAATTATCGCTCTGTAGCTGTCATCCTGAGACCTATGATTCCATTCCAAGATTATGATGTAACTTGGATAAGCTGCCATCTGCAGACAGTTGTATTTATTATTATTATTATTATTATTATTATTATTATTTCACATTCCATCCCTATCATTGCCCCCATCACAATCCCTTCCCTCATACCCCTTCTCTTCCCCTCTGAGAGACTAGACCACCCCCACTCTGTGTATCCCTCCACCCTGGCACATCAAGTCTCTGCAGGGCTAGCCTCATCCTCACCCACGAGGCCAGACAAGCCAGCTCAGCTAGAAGAACGGATTCCACAGACAGACAACAGCTTTAGGGATAGCCCCCGCTCCAGTTGTTTCAGACCCACATGAAGACGGAATCTGCAGACAGTTTTTATAAGTTGCCCAGGCCTTTCTATGTCTAGCTAAAATTGAAACTGGTTAGAACAGGTTGTCTAAGCACTGCATTACAAAGAAGCATTTCATGACTGTAGCAGTCTTTCTTTATCTGTGATTTCACTTTCTGCAGTTTCAGCTACTCATGAGCTACAAAGATGTAATACATTAAGTGGGAAATTCTGTAAATAAATAGAAACGTTGACTTTCCTGACTTTCTCAGCTCAGCAGCCTGTGAAATCCTTCACCCCTCTGCTCTATCTCACTGAACCATGAATCACCCTTTGTCCAGTGCCTATGTGTGTGCTCCCCACCTGTCAGTCACTGAGCAGCTAGCTCAGTTATTAGATCAGTAGTCACTGAATTATGATACCTGTGTCCAAGTAACCCCTATTTTCATAGTTTATACTCAAAGCACAGACGTTTACTACACTGTGTTCATTATTTCATTGTTCATTTTTTAACTTCTTACTGTGTTTAATTGGTAAATTAAACTGTATAACAGATACATGTGTGTTCATGCATAGGAAAAACACATCACATATAAGGCTCACTACTATCCAAGAGTTCATTCATTGGTGGTGGGTTTGGGGCATATCACCCAAAGGAATTCCTTTGTACTCTGTCCACAGGAGCTGGATGATATAATTTGAGAATGAGAACTTTATAGTCTCTAGTTTTAAAAAGGAAAAAATAACAACAACAACAACAACAACAACCAAGTTATTGAACAAATGCATAACTACTCTGTTAAATATTATGGCAATAGTATTTCCCAAGTACCAACCCTCCCCTACCCAAACCAAATACCACCTTCTTACTTTCTTCTATATTGCTTTTCCATAGAATCAAATCTAGGGATTCCATGGATTTGGGGATCGGATCCTTGTTCTATGGCCTTTATTATGGAATAGTGGGGAGAGACTTAGCTGAGATCTGCTCAGATCAAATGGCATCTACTCTAGGAGTAGATGGTGTTTTCTTTGCTTGATTTATTTATTTAAATGGAGGAGGAAGCAGCCCCATCTTATCTAAACATCAGTCACGTCAATATTGTCAAGATTCTCCAGATTCATTGCTCTCTGGAGTTGCATTCTATCAAGAACTATTTGTTGTTAGTTAATTAGAAAGCACATCCCTGGGGACAACAAGATGGCTCAGTGGATAAAGGCGCTTGCTGGTACGACTGATGGAGTGACTTCAATATCTGGAATCCATACAGTGGAAGGAAAGAACTGACTCTTGAAAATTGTCTTCTGTCCTTCATAATAAGCCATGTGATTTGTGTCCCATCCACTCCAACACACACACACACACACACACACACACTAAATAATTTTTAAATGTGAAGAAAATACACTCTTTGTATAGAAGTACTGGGAAATGTATCATTTTTAAAAACAAATGTGTTACATATTCGAGTTATCATGTCTAGTATATACTAATTGGCAACACTTAAGGAATTAATTAAGATGAGTCATAACAGAAACCACTTATTTCTGAGTGAAACTTCATCTAATAGAATAAAAATAACATCTAAGGAGTCCGTATATAGCTCAAGAGCAAAGCAATTGACTAACATGTGTGAAGCCCTGAGTTGACTTCTTAGCCATGTAAGAAAATAATCGCATTTGATGCTACACTTTAGAATCAACTCAGGATAATCTTGCCATAAAGATTAGTCACCATTGTGCAGCATGTGAAAAGGTAGAAATATAAAAAGTGATAAATGTGTTCTGAGTGTACACTGATAACTGGATTATTTTTAAATCTCAAATAGTTTTTAATGCTTTTAAAATTAAAATTCAGAACGGACATAGGTCCTAGTGAGGTGATTTCTAGAACTAGGTATTGGGAACAATCACCTGTGTCTGGCGTATGTGTGTGTCTCTGAACACTCACAAACGGAGTGTTCCTGGGAGTTCCCATCCTGCCCTTCCTGTGTCCTGTGCACAGCTAATGTGAGGTGGGGAATCCTTGTGAGTAGCAGAGGGTGAAAGGTCTGGGCTCTCCTTTTGCCCATTGTGGATCAGGACTTAAAAGGACATGAATCTGACTTCCTGGGCCTCTGATGTCCTCCCTGTCTACCCTTGGCTTATCTGTACCTTCTTTCTAGAGCCTGCAACCTGACTTCCGAGGTGTAAAGTTTTGAGTACCAAACCTTTGCTATTCCTCTCCTGTGCATTGCCTAAGGGGTAGATGTGGAAAAGCACCCTTCTCATAATAGTCAAGTTGTATACAGGAAGCAGCATTTTTGCTCCCTGGTTCCAACAAAACCCAGACATCTTGTCTCTAAGATAATCACCGATGCATCTCATGCTTGTTTACAAACATTAGAGGAAGAGAAAGATTGTTTGTGTTCTGTTCTCACATGGACCAGGAAGAAGAGCTTCAATGGTAGATAGCCCAGTCACAAGCATCAACTCTCGATACTTCTTACATGATCTCACCCCCCAGTCCTGAACATTATCACCACCTATCATCTTCATTCTAGCTCCAAAATCTATTTTAGAAACAACAACATGACATTTTTATAGTCACCAGTATGTTGGTATATACATATAGGGTGTTCTGGTGTATACACAAAGCCACACACTTGTACATATGTTTGTGACTGAGGTGAGAGAGGAAAAAAAACCTCTATAGCCATGCCAATGTCTTAGCCTCACACCAGATCACTTAAGTCAGAATCAATGGAGGTAGAGCCTATGTATGCATCTGCTTTGTTAAAACAAACAAACAAACTAAAGAAAAGAACTAAGCAACTATCCACAAATGGATGGACCTTAAAAGCATATTTTTGAGTGAAAGGAGACATTCCAAAAAGGCTACACATGATCTGATCCCATTCATATTTTGGAAAAGGTACAATTACAGACATAATAAGCCAATAGGTGCTTGCCAGGGGTTAAGGATGGAGAAGGTTGACTCAACCAAGCACCAGGAGACTTTTGTAGTAGTGGAACTGTTTGATACTAAATTGCTGGATAAATGACAACATATTTTCAAATAAATTCACAGAATGACATTGCAGGAGGGATATAGCTTTACACATGCAAACTTTTAAGAACTACATAGGAGCTCAGAGAATCCCAGATAAAAAACAGTGTAATGGAAATAATCTAATTTTATTGGTGGAGGATCTTGTGCTGACTTGAAACTGAGTGAAGATTGTAGGTCTAAAAGCAGAGAGAGCTGTGCATAGCACTGTGCTCTCAGTGATCGTCATCCGCAGAGCTGTGGACTAATGAGCCTGATTGTTCTATATGTCCATTCTGCAATGGAACCATTAGATAAAGGGACAGTTGATATTGGAGTCTAAGTTTCTCCTTGTCATAACGAGAGATTACAGATAAGCACAGAGAAATGGCTAACATATACCACATTAGCCATAGGATTAGAATATAACCACATAGGGTTAGAATTGGAACTATCGGTACGAATTTGTGTTGTTTTCTATAGGTGCAGACAAATACATACAAAAATATTTATAGGCATGTGTATAGACACAAGTTAGTATGTATAGATACATTTCCTCATTCTCTTAACCAAGAGATCATGGAAGCAATGGCACCCCAATGCCCAGATCCTAGTTTATCATACCATCCCACGGTAAAAGGAACAAGGACTTCTTAGAGAAATAGCTACTTATAGAACTGGGGAAGGAATATTCAGTATGAGTCTGGAACATATCATAGCATTCTAGGGTAAGAAAGTACTGAAAACAGCAACACCCACAATGACAGGGAGGTCAAAGGGCAAAAAGCCTCTAACATTCACTGCTGGTAGCCAGCAGAAGCTGTGCTAGAATATTACCTGGAGCATAACTCGAATAGTCCAGAGTTCAGATTCATATAAAAAAATTAACAAGTGCATGAGGGTGGAGAATGCCCCCTCAGTGATATGAGATAAATGCTATCATGTTCAAAACAAAATGTTTTTCACATTATGGGGATTCTGATGTGTTACCACTATTGATCAAAGTGGCATCTGAGGCTCTGGGAAAATAAAAGGTTCCCAAGTTCACATTCTAAATGCGTTGTTTTCAGGGGCTGATCAGGCTGAATGCTCAGATAATAATGTGGGAGCCTTGGAAAGGAAATATATGCTTAGATTTGCTCCAGGTCTCTGAATGGTAATCTCCAGAAGAAACTAGATGGGAAGGTCCAGGAACTGGATAAGCTCAACAGCTGCCCCTGTGGGCCAGATTTGCTACTGTGGACAATAACTGCAACTCAGAGACAGAATAAGTGTAGAGGTTTGATGGACAGCTATAGCTAAGTTTGTTGGTGCTAATGGGCCCTACCAGGGATGATCAGCCCCTCTGAGCATTGCCCCTTCAGGAAAAGGCATCTCAGATACTAGTTCAGTTCTCTCTCAGAGTTTACTGCTGTGAACAGAAACCATGACCAAGGCAAGTCTTATAAACAACAACATATATTTGGGTCTGGCTTACAAGTTCAGAGTTTCAGTCCATTATCATCAAGGTGGGAGCATGGCAGCATCTAGGCAGGCATGGTACAAGCAGAGCTGAGAGTTCTACATCTTCATCTGAAGGCTGCTAGTGGAAGACTGGCTTCCAGACAGCTAGGACAAGGGTAAAGCCCACACCCACAATAACACACCAACTCTAACAAGGCCACACCTACTCCAAGAGGGCTACACCTTCTAATAGTGTTACTCCCTTGGCCAAGCATATATAAACCATTACAGTTCAGAAGCAATGAAGACCCCAGGTGCCAATGACTGTCTGATACCGTATCTGCATTGGCTGTCCTGTGTGTACACCATGGCAGGGGCTCTCTTCTCCAGTGTTCTTTTTCCTTCCTAGAGTGTCAGCAGGATCGACACCAGGAGGCTATCAGGTGACATCTGTGCTATTTGTAGGCAGAAGATCTTTGTGGCACTTGACAAAGAAGAGTTCACTGAAAACACTTACCAGTTGTCATGTAGCCACATGTATCCTTCCCACAGAACCCCTTCTTGAATTTCCTGAAGCTTTTGGCTTCCCAGCCTCTCCTTCTGTCTCCATTTCCTCTGCCTTGAATAGCTCGTACCCTCAAGCCTTTGTCCTCTGACCTTGACTTTTCTTGAGACTTTCTGATGATCCACATGCTGAATGATGAATAGCTAATTAAAAGGCTCTTCCTCCTGTATGGTCATTTCCTTTTAAAAGAAGGCTCTTCATCCTTCTTCTCAGCAGGAAGGCTGGTCATTTGAGCAGGGCCCTGCCTGGAGAAGCAGGTAGAAGCCATGTGTAAGCATATGAAGAAAAAGAGAAACAGAGGCAGAAGTAGGCTGAGAATGAGAAAGAGTCATGTATAGTTTGGGGTATCACTCAATGCCGGGGTACATGTTTAGTATGCAGGAGGCCAACACCACAAAATCCTGTGGAGTGTATCAGGTGCAGGGGAGAACCCATGACTGTTCATATAGAGCCTGGTGTCTAAACCTTGGTAGAACAACACCTACAAAGTCCACTTTGACTGGAAATAATCTACAAGGAGCCCACTTATAGCAACAGAATAGGGAAGAAGAAAACCAAACCACAGGTTTCTAGGCAGAGACCTTTAAAAAGAATGGCGCCATAAGACAGCCCAACACTTCAGATCACAGAAAGAGGGACTGGCATTTGACATCTTGTTTGCAGACCATCCAACACTTCTACCTATGTGTTCCTGCTCAAACAGGTCTCTGTTGGCTGGAGAGTCTGGAATGGCAGGAATGTCTACTGGTTGCCTTTGTGTGACTATGGGCAAGCTGCTTCATGGAAACTCTTGAGGGAAGAAAGGCTGGTTTTGGCTTACAGTTTCAGAGGGTCTGGGTTCATCATGGCAGAGTATGCATGGTGGCAGAAGCATGTGGTAGGTACTGTTTATCATGACTGACCATAATAAAGAGGGCAAAGCTGGAACCAAAGACAGACTGTAACCTTCAATAATCCTCTCCTAGTGGCATTCTTCTGCCATGAATTCTCACCCCTTCAGGATTCTACAGCCTTCCGATACGTGCCACCTCCTTGGTAACAAGCATCCAAACTTATGAACCCATGAAGAATATTTCACATCCAGACTACAATGGATAAGTCTGGACCTATAAACCAGGTTTCTATGAGGACAGCCTAAACTACAAAATGCTGTCTTAGGACCCTTGAACAATGAAACCCATGTTGTCCAAGCCTGTGACTGTAGATACCAAAGTTGTCTTTGGGTTGGCCAGCAGCCCATATTGTCATTTGTTCCTAAGTATACAGCAAAGCGTTGCTCATCTCTGTATCACAGCATGGATTGTACAGCTCTGACTCCAGACGCCCGATCAGCTCAAAGCCACTGCAGCCCACCTAATCCAGTCAATCAAACCTAATGTCTTCGATATTCGTGGCCAATGATGCAGTCTTGTTTAATCTGGATGCTTTCCACTGATTCAGTGCTAAAAGTCAGAAACTGGTCCAAATGCATCTCAAATGTAATAGGAAACTTTCTTCAACATTTAAGCCTCAAAAACTTAAGGGAAGAAACACAAAGATATCCCATCTGGACTTCTACGGTGTTTTTCTTCCTTTGTGTGATACACACACACACACACACACACACACACACACACCAAGAAACTATCATTCTTAGTAGAAATTTTCCAAGTCTGGCCTTAGTTTTAAGTATGATTTACTTTTCAAATGTTGGAACAGAGCCTCTTCTGCCAATTTCAAGTGGAAATATTTTCTCTCTCCACCTTTAAAAGCCCTTAGGGATTGCTATACATGTGTGCATATGTAATCTAAAGTGTAGTCACCCTTAAATATGCTTTGCTGGGAGTATTATTAATGGCCCATTTTAGCGTGAGTCATATTAGTGAGGAGTGAGCAAATGTGAGTCCCATTAGCCAGGAGAGACTATCTGGGTTTCGCTCTGTAGCAGCTCGGCCAGTGTGCAAGCTTCCAGCACAGAAACTTCAAAGAAGAAAGAACACAAATCAGAAGATGGGAATGCCTGATGCTAGCTAGCTTTCATGACCCCAGAACTCTGTACCTGTCTGGAAGGTGTGGTTCTATGCCAGCCTTTTTAAAAGGCTGGCTGTAAGTGAGTTCACAATCTTTCTCATAATATATACCACTTTGAGCTAATCCAAGGACACTGCAAAAATGTTCAAGATTCTAAGAACACAAAATAGTGGAAACTCTTAGCTGCATAGAGAACTAGTCTGGAAGAATAAGATCTATGCTCTTGCCAGGGTTCCACCTCACAGTCCTCTGGGTTTTTGTTTTGTTTTGTTTTGGGGAGGGATGTTTGATATCATTGCTGTCAACACAGATGAGTGACAGGTTGGACAAAAAAATACTGGAAAACATGGAAATCTTAATTTCCAAAAATAGTTTTGAAAGGTCCATCCAAACCTTCATTTGGCAAACAGTTCCTACACTCCTGTTTAAAAGAGCAGGGAAAAGGATGACTAGTCCATGGTCATGTGGCAATCTGTGACCTTCGAGAGACCATATGTGCACGCAGCAGGTGATGGCATCTTAGGATCTGTCTCTGGTCCTGTCAGAAAACAGGATTCATACCTACTGAAGGACACTGGGAAGACTTTCTATAGATGGTGTACATGAATTAATCTGTACATGCGAGAGGATGAGACATTTGTTATGTTTATATTATATTAAAATATTGGTCCTTCATCTGTAATTTTTTTAAAGTCGAAGAAAAAGCCATTGAAGAGGTTATCAGAACTGTCTGTAATTTGGTGGTACTGTTTAGCATGCATGGGGCTCTGGGGTCAATCAGGAGGGAGACAGGCAAAGGGGAGGAGGAAAACAGCTATAAGCTTAAGAACACACAAGACCCCAGTGCCTACCAGTAGGACTCACACGAGATAACCAGTAATGCACAGAATCTAGGATTGAGAATTCCAGAGCATGTGTGTGGGAAACACACAAATACAGGTGTCAGGGGAGTGAAAAGATGCATTTGCGAAAGAAATTATTGTATGAAAGTGTCCTTGTGCTCTGCATCTAGTTCTTACTGTAATCAAGAAGGCAAGGGCAAGGACAAACAAGGCCAAGATGTTAAGTAAATTCAACAAGGTCATAAAGCTGCTGCAGTCCCCTTTCCACCCTCCCTGTCCCTGGCTCTCCCTCACGTGGGAATTACGCACACTCAGGATGAGTTATGGTGGCCTCCCACTCCTGAACAGAACAATCCTTTCCAGGTCACCACCACAGGTCATTGCTCTTTACCAAACTTCCCGAGTGAGTTACCTCAGCTTTCATGAATTCTGCAGTCGAGGCTCGTGTATCATTGGGAAGAAACAGACTTGCCCGATCTTAAGAAGGTGACCGGTAACCCGTATCCTTCTAGAAAAGCACAAAACAGGAGCTTAACCATGCCCAGGGATGAGCAGCACAGCTGAACTGCCACTGTCTTATTATAGGTGTGGTAGAAAACTTTTTGCTGTCTAACAACACAGCGGCTGCTCTTTTAGTTTTCTGCACCTGTGTTCCTATTCTGGGTAGGAGAGTAAATACCCAAGACTGTGGTACCCATTATGGCTCATACTTTCCGTGTTAAGGGATTTAGTGGAAATGTGTTGGGGCAATTCAAAAAAATGGGCACAATATGAGGAAGAGTGGAGATGATGCATGGATGGGTGGACAAATAGTTGGGTTGAATGGGCTTGTGGGTAAATCATAGATAAATTAAGATTGAAATTTCAAAAGCTAAAACTGTTAGTGTGGAGAAGGCTGCTTGGGAGCAGAACAAATTTTATCTTTACCCAAAATGACTAGACTTCTTGTCCTACATCTTAGGTTTTTAAATTTCTTCCTCTCTTTGGGCTAAATTCCAGCAATAATGATACTGAAAGGAAACGAAGACTAAGTCGACTTAATATTGCCAGTATGTTACACAAGCATGGGGCCATCTCCTATAATACGGGCAACCTATCAGGGATTACATCCAGAGTAAACAGATGTGGGGGTGGAACTTGTGAGCCCATTCCCAATGCATGCTGGGATCTCAGCTGGCTTGATCTTGTACAGCTCTTGTGTTTGCAGTCATAGCCACTATGAGCTTGTGTGTGCAGCATCCTGTCATGCCTGAAGGAACTGCTTCACAGAAGTCCTATTACTACTTCTGACTCTTCCATGATGGTCCCTGAGCCTTGGGATGATGGCTGTAATACAGATGGTCCATTTACAGACGAGCACTCCCTAGTACTTTGACCAGTTGTGATTGTCTGTATTAATCAATACCTGCTGCAAAAAGAAAGGTTTCTAACAAAGGCTGAGACCGTGCTAATCTATGGACATGAAGATAACTGTTTAGGGTAGAGTTTAATAGCACAATAAGAATAGCTAGTTTTCCCTTAGAGCCTATGACCTACCCAGCCACAGGTTCCTGGCCCAGTTAACAGTACCAGGTATGGGGATCCTTGTGGAGCAGGCCTTAAATACAATCAGACAGCAGTTCTGAAAACATCCATGTCACTCTTTCACCAATTGGTGTGTCTTGTCAGGATGGTTGCTATTGAGCCCGTAAAGGTTCCCAGTTAGGTAAAATTAAAGAAGAGTGCTCTCACCTGATAAAATACAGAGCACCTTCTGGTGCTATGAAAGCTACTAAGGAAAAAGGAAACTTCAAGATCAGTACTCTCAATCACTCTATGTCCTATGAATCAAGTATCTGGTGTCTTCTGCAATAGGATTTTACCATAAAATTCTTGAGGACAACCAAGAACAAAGACCCATGTAGTAAAGCAAGGCTTACATCACAGTTACAATTGCTTTCACATTTGGAGAAGCACTAAAAATTAGTTTTCTTTCTGAAAACAAAATTAGAGTCCTTACATTTCTCAGCCTGTCTGCTATACAGTCCTGATATTTCCTCTGTCAAATAAACTAGCCTGAATTCAGCTATTTAAACTTCCATGACAGAGGCAGACAAGACCAATTCTTTGCTAGATTATAACCTGAGTGGCATCTCACCACATTTCTGGGGACTCCTTCTTCCCATGAGACGCCACAAGTCTTTACTGTCTGCATTTCTATTACCATCCAGGTCTTTCAAACATCTAGTGGAACAGCCAGTAACCTCTGGGTATAGCATTCAAGGATTTATTGCACCTGGAGTTTCAAATTCTTCCACATTAGTCCCACAAACCAGTTTCAGAGGCTTAAAAACCACGGTAAAATATCACTGCACAGAACCCGCTTCTTGGTACCCTTTCCTCTATTGGTTTCAGAGTCTCTCATACTGGGGTACTTGCTCTATTTACAGCTGTTTTGTTTTTTTCAGAGTGAAAGATAAAGTGTAGTTATATTCTGCTGTGTAGATGCCCAGTTTTCCTCACATCTTTTGCTGAGGATTCAGCCTTTTGTCCAGTCTGTATTATATCTGGGAGCTCTACTTTATCCCACTGGCACACACACATCTATTTTGATGATGCTATCATGCTAATTTTATTGTTATAGATCTCCAGTATAACTTGAAATCAGCTGTGGTGATACTTCTAGTAGCATTCCTTTGATTTAGGACAATTTTGGTTATCTGGGGTCTTTTTACTTCCAAATAAATTTTGGAGACATTTTTCATATTTTTGTGAAGAATAATATATGAGCTTTCATTGGTATCACATTGAATCTGTGGTCTGCTTTTGATAGAATGGCCACTTTCATAATAGTAATTCTTTGGATCTATGAACATAGCAGATCTTCCCTGTAACAGGTAATAAGTAGAAAACTTTGCCTGGTCTGGCTTGTCCCCGGGAAGTCGCCATTTTCCTGATGCTCCGGCTCTGGACCTCAGCTCTGGCTATTTAGAAATAGCAATCCTGGCACCCATGAGAAGCCAGCATGGTGGCTGGCTCTGCCAACCCACCACGCTGTCCACAATGCTTGGCTGAGCCCAGACATTCCTGCTACACCCACAGTACCTGGTAGAATAAAGACTCTTAATGCTTAAAGATTATTCAATAGATTTATTTATTTGGAAATGCTCAATTAACAAGATGCTCTCACAATTAGAATTGTTAACCAATTATATAACCTAGATATTATAACTGCCTTAGACTGCTAGAGACACACGTACATCCACAGCCATCATCTCTCCTCCTCTTCCTCTTTCTCCCTCCTCCCCTTCCTCTTCTTCTTTCCTCAACTCCTCACTCCACTTACCTTTCATACTGCCCAATGACCGAGCTTTATTGTAAATACAGCAGGAAAATATCCTGCTACACTTCCCTTCTTTTGGTGTCTTCTTCAACCAGGCAAACAATGCCACCATTGACAGAAGTCTAAAAGATTTTCACTGACAACTGAAACAACTCTGTGATGAAAACATTAACACACTGAAGAAAGAAATGAATGTGTCTGCCACTGTTTTATAGAAGGTTATTGATTGTGCATGCATGAATGTGTGTGTGTGTGTGTGTGTGTGTGTTCATTTTGCATCCTGCCATTTTGCTGAAAGTAGTTTTCATTTCTATGAGTAACGAAGATTAAATGTCATTTAAAACTTTTGTATGAAGCTATTTCTATTGTGGTTTTAATTATTTAAAATCAATAATGGACAAGTCAACACTTCTCTGGCTAAATATATAGTCATATATATAGGCATAAATCTATGTTTGATCTTTCTGGTTTTCTTGGTAATGTGGTGATGTCTGTAGGAAGTGGAAAAGTGGCAAGAAAGTTTATTACTGTAATGGATTCCTCTGGTTTCTCCTCAAGGATAACAATAATCTGAATATGACCACTTATTTCATGAGCTAGCCTATGTTTTCTGCCCAGTACTCTCCTGGGAGCTTGTGAAAGAAAGAAACATTATATAAGTTCTCACACTAAAGCTCATTACACACTAATAAACTTCTTCCTTGCAGTCATTTTTCTATGAATAGGGTCACTAATCTCTTTGCTAGTGTACATAATAGGAACATATCTACATATGAACAGTCATATAAAAATAAATAATTTCCTGTAAAACACCAATATTGGTAGCAGATATCTACAACAGGCATCGCTAACTCCACAGATACACCTAGGCCCTATTTGGATAAGTCTGATAGCCTTGCCTCCATAATCCTTCTGGCACGACAGCAACCAGAAAGTGTGGTTTTCTTCTATTACCTCATCTGAGACCCTCAATAATCCAGCATGCACAAACCATGCTGCCCATTTTAAGGATAGGAAAGGGTTTTGGGTTGGGATAAGTGACTTGCTCAGAATCATGCATTTGATAACCTAAGTGTCTCTCTGACTCCAAAACCCAATTAACCACATAAACCTAGCTGTGGCTGAGAACTTACAAAGGGTCAAAGGACATTCATATGGCTCCCAGCACAAGACAAAAGTTGCTGAGAATCAGTGAAGAACTCTTAGTAAAAAAAAATATATATATATACATATATATGTACATATATGTACATATATATATATACATATATATATACATATATATATATTCCGTTAAAATTTGATACATCACCAAATCTTACTTATAAACATTAAAGGTGGGCTGGAGAGATGGCTCAGTGGTTAAGAGCACCGGCTGCTCTTCCAGAGGTCCTGAGTTCAGATCCCAGAAACTGCATGGTGGCTCACAACCATCTGTTATGGGATCTGATGGCCTCTTCTGGTGTGTCTGAAGACAGCTACAGTGTACTCATATACATAAAATAAACAAATAATTCTTTAAAAAACATTAAAGGCAGTGGTATCTGTCTTCAGATTACTACATGTGGAGTTATTTTGAGTCATAAGAAACCTCTAGGTATATAACTACTTTAAAAATCTTTTGCTCACATGTATTTTTTCAGACAGAAAAAGAAAAGCTTTATAGAATTAGATATGAGACTTTGCACAGGAGAAAAAGCAACAGAATGTCCACGGGGGTCAGCAAGCAGACACTGGAAACTAACATCTAAATCCAGTGGAAATCTGCACCAGGACATGGGAGACTTCTTTCAGATCCTTACAAATTAATATTTAATTTATACTTAGAGAAAAATATGAAATACTCAGAAAGACAAACCTAGTTCACACGAAAACACAGCCTGTGTCATTTATACTGGAAGATCTGATGGGATGGTGGGACACAACCCTCTCTAGAAATGGCAACAGATTTGCCTGGGTGCCCCAAATATTGTGACTCTTTGCCCTTGGTATCATCTACACAGAGGGATGGCAGGTGAGTAGATTAGGAAATACTTTCTGTAGCCACCCTATGTCACACTGACTGGATACAGGCATTAAACTGTCAATCTACATCTACTGTTTCCAGATGCTCTAAGGGAATCGGTTACTTAGATATCAATAAAGGAGAGAGATGAAGGAAAACAGAG